TTGTGTGCTTGCATGATGTGATTATGTAATTGTGATGAATTAGCATGATGAGGCTGTTGAATCTTAAACCTTTAAAAACCTCTTTGTTAATGATGATGCCTTGGTATAAAAGAAGGCGTGATGAACTAAAAGAATGGGGTTAGGGGATCGGGTGTCACGTTCCGGCACCAGGATAGTATTAATGGATCGGGTGTCACGTTCCGACACCGGGATAGTAATAGTGGATCGGGTGTCACGTTTCGACACCAGGATAGTAATAGTGGATCGGGTGTCACGTTCTGACACCAGGATAGTATGATGAGGATCGGAGTGTCACGTTCCGACACCAGGATAGTAAAGAGAATGAATCTTGAAATATGTTAATATACTCAATTTAATGAACCTATTTCCCAACGAGTATGGTATGGAGGCTTGAGTCCTCATGGGTGTATCAATGATTCTCGTACTTGTGTTGCTACCTGTTGAGTATTGTAGTCGATTTTATGATATTATCTGATATATACTGTTTTCTATTTTGAGTTGGCCGATGATACCTTCTCAGTACTTATGTTTTGTACTAACCCCTACTTGTATGTTTTCTCTTTGTTATTTGTGGAGTGCAGCAAACGTACCGTTATCTTCAACTCAACCGCAACTCTAGCCAGTCTTCATCACGTCAGATTTCAGGGTGAGCTATTGTTCCTAGCTCGGACTGGATTCTCTCTCATTCATGTCTTGATGTCCTTGAAGTTCGGGACCATTTGTTTTCTTACTTTAGCTTCCTAGACACTCTTAGAATTAGTAATTTGAGGATAGAATGTTCTTGTGGTGATGACTTCCAGATTTTGGGGATAGTAATTGATAAATTTTAGAAGTTATTAATTATTGGTTATATTAATGAGTTTTAAGTCTTCCGCATTTTATTCTGTTTATTATGATTGAAATGTTGAGGTTTAGATTGGTTGGTTCGCTCACATAGGAGGTTAAGTGTGGGTGTCACTCGCGGCTCGTTTTGGGTCGTGACAGTAACTTTATGGCAAGTAATATATGCATGAGTTGAACATGAAGTCTTTTCGTTAGGAGCATTGCTCAAAAAAAATACATCTTACAACGTGCAAATTCAATTTATTTGAAATTAATACACATATTAAACACTGAAAAGAAAAAATTGTCAGGTAAAAAACAAATTTAGGTTACTTACTATATGGTTCATAACATAAATTTTGACTCTAAGAAAGCAACAAGAATATACAAGGTGATTATTATGTACACAATAATTAATTTTTTCAAAGTACATTTAACATTCGATTAGATAATATTTTGTACTTTCAAAAGGTTAGTAAATAAATAAAGCAAACAGGGATTGAAATTTTCAAACTTTATACAAAAACAAAAGAATCACGACACAAAAATTGGGAATATTTGTACTTTTTTGTATAATATTTTTTTAAACTCACTCTCATTAGTCTTCTAGTAGACTTTTAGTATTTTATGAATTTGGTGAAACAAAAGTATATTACACTAATTTTGACCAATAGCTGGCTTTGGACATTTTCTTTGGTCCTAATTTTTAGATTTTGTGGGGCAAAATTTTTACTTAATGCATAAGAATATAGGTCCATTAATTTGGAGTACAAATATTATACACATCATTCATGTATACACGTATATACACACATTTTTTTTTTACCAGAAAATCGATAATTACTATCTTTCAAGTGTTATATAAACTCTACTCCAATATAATAGTTCGTTCTAAACTAGCCCCTTACGATGAGCTTGACTGAAAAGACATACAAGAGATTTAGAACATGAAATATAATATATATACATACTCATTTTAAAGTATCTTAATTTTATTAAATATTTTATTTTGTATATGATATCCTGAATTTATGTCTAAGGTAAGATCAATGTTTTCAATCTAACTTTATTCGATGAATTTTACTTTAAGAAATCAAGTTAAGTTGGCAGTTTCTTTCAACTTCATTGACAACGTAAAAATGAAAATAATTAATTAAAAAAATCATTGTGAACACATCATACGTATAATGAGAAGTCATATTAATATGATTTTAAGGTAAATATTTATATTAAATCATGTTAATTTATTGTAGTTAGGTAATTTAGCAAAACAAAAATGCACATCAACTAATTAATATGATTAAGTGTAAAGTCTATGGTCAAATACATATGTGTATTGATTCAGCGTAAATATTTCAGAATAATTTTTTTAAATTTAAAATTAAAATATATTTGAATTAAATTTGTTTTTACACTGTCATGAGATAAACATATATAATTAGTCATGATCACTTTTATCGTATCATCAATTATTGTTGGTCAAAACATACATGTATATACTCATATATAATCTATTTATTATATTATTTTTGTTAACAATAGATTTTGTGTCATGTTTAATTACACTAAAAATTTTAAAAATTATCTTATATAGTCAACGTATATATAACTATTTTGAAAGTACATAAATGTGTTTTTTTTTATAATTAAATATAATTTGAAACATACTCTGCCCCTTTGAGAATTTTGAATATTTGTCCCAATAAAATCATTTATTTTTTCCTTTAAACTAAAGCAATGAGAGGAAATGAGATGTTAAAATGGCGTTTTCAGAAGGTAAACAATGACACGCGCTAGCACGCGCCGCATGACCAAGTGACACGTGTAGAGAAAGTCTAAATATTTTTTTCAAAAACTAAAATCAAATAATTTCAAAATAAGCAACAACAAAAAAACATTAAGAATGTGAAAAAATAGTAAATGGGATATATATATATATATATTTTTGGGAAAATATACAAGTACCCCCTTAATATATGCCCGAAATCCTAAAGACACATTTATACTATACTAAGGTCCTATTACCCCCTGAAATTATTTTATAAGTAATTTTCTACCCTTTTCAGCCTACGTAGCACTAGCTTGGAAAAAAGTCAACCAACGTTGAGCTCACAAGATAGTGCCACGTAGGCTGAAAAGGGGTAGAAAATTATTAATAAAATAAATTCATGAGGGTAATAGGACATTAGTATAGTATAAGTGTGTCTCTGAGATTTCGGGCATAACTTGAAGGGATATTTGTACATTATATTCTATATTCTACAATTTTATAATATAAATATTAAATTTCGAATCTACTTATTCAACAGTCAATAAGTACATGCTTTCTTAACGAATTAACTCACAGAATTACTCCCTCCATCCACTTTAATTTGTCATATTACTTTTTAAAAGTCGATTCAGCTAATTTTTAAAATTAAATTAGATTACTTTAATGTGATATTTTTTTAAAAAAAGAAAAATTAGATATTCAAAAACTATACAAAAAATATACTAAAAATTATCATTTTTTTTACATATTAATATGACTGTAATTTTCTTATATAGTCACCCATGTTTGAGAAATTACCTAATAATATCACTTATGTTTGTTTTAGGACTACAATATCACCGAACTTTACCTATTTTTCTCAAAATATGCTTGACACAAAAAAATATTATTTCTCTCCTAATGGAATGTCATGTGACAGTTTCTAAATGTATTAATTATATTTTTGTAATTCTTTAAATGTATGTAGGCTCCTAATACTAATTTCTTTCAAATATTTAACAATCATTATATATCGAGATTTATTTTAACACAAAGAAAAAATAATTTAGATAGATAAAGGAAATAATAGATAACTGAAATACGAAGTTCGTGAATAGTAATATTTAATTAAGTGTTTCTATTATTAACTTGAAAAATAATATATTATAAAAGTAATTAATTAGTACTACACATGTGAGTTTTATTACGTGCGTGATTTTTTTCGCACAAAAAATCTCCTTATTAATCATAAAGATAAAATCATGTCGATTCTCACAAGAAATTGAGAGCGGAGTTAATCTTTGGTTACATAGAATTTAGTTATATTTATGATTTTAAAATTATTAAAAATATATAAAATATTGATTTAGAACTTTCAACTTTAAAGAAGTAAAATTTAAAACTTACATGTAAGCTTAAAACTAGACATGGATGTCTATGCTAGAATTTAGAAAGTTAATTAAATTTAATATGATTATAAATATTTTAAGTCGTTAATTACTTTTTGTTTGCACAAATTTAAAGTAAAGAGGTTCATTAAGATGTCCACAATTAAAGTATTTTTCTTCATCGATCGTTGATTTGATACTCAAAGTAGCTACAATATATTATCGACATCCAAAATAATAAAGATATTACGAAAGAATATGAATTTATAATTAAAAGATATAACCAAAACAAATTCTATAATTTTAGAAAAAATCCAGTAATTAAGTTAAAATAGAATAAGCTAAATAATTTTTTCAAACCAGAGAAGTAAAAACAAATAAACACAAACATTGTATAAATAATACTGAAAAGCAGGAGAACAAACACTTAAAGAATCTAAAAAAAATTATTAATAAATTAAAAAATGTGACATTACAGCCTAGGAGAGATAATGTTTTTTTTGTGTCAAGTATATTTTGAGGAATATATGTAAAATCGATGATATTTTAGTCCTAAAACAAACATAAATGATATTACTAAGTAATTTTCCAAACATGGCTGACAATCGAGGAAAATTACTCGGTGAAAAAATACATTGTAAAATGTTAGTCAAAACTTTTATTATTTAACTCTAGAAAAAATTTATTACAATTATACAAAAACAATAATGTTAATACTTTTTTCGTCAAAATTATTAAATTCTATTAAAAATTATCCTTGGTCAAAAATACTAAATTCTATTGAAATCATAGTCAATAACACACAACATTTCATAATTGCTTGTTTAATGATCATAAGAAAAATTCAAATAATAAATGATAAATATTTATAGGTCCATATAAACATGATAAATTGTAATTAACTCACCATGATAAATTTATCAAACTACCATGATAAGAAAAAAATTCTTGAAATTTAGGTGGGGGGTGGGGTAGATTTTTTTGATTATATATATGTAGGTGGCATTTGGTGCTAGTCTTCAATAGGACCTCTCTTCTCTTATTATTTTCTCCCTCTAAAAAAAAAAACTCTTCTTCTCTCTCAACAATAAACTTTGATAAAACTATAGGTTATAACATTTTATCCCAAAGTTCATATTTTTATTTTTTAATTTCTTGAAAGAACATGGGGAGACAACCTTGTTGTGACAAAAATGAAGTGAAAAAAGGTCCATGGTCATCTGAGGAAGACAAGAAGCTTACTAATTTCATCCTTAATAATGGTCAATGTTGTTGGAGATCTCTCCCTAAACTTGCAGGTTTTTTCCTTTCTCATTATTCCTCTTATACTCACGATCGTACAGACAGTGTCGTAATCAAAAATTTAATTGTATCAAGAAATTTAAAAAATTATTAAAACATTACATATGTGACGTAAAATAATCGCTACAATAGAATTTTTCTTTATACTAGAGAAATTTCAACATTTATGACATACGACTAAAAAAACTTTTATTTATTTTATTTAAACTAAGTATAATTTTTCGATAAAAAAATTCCGAGCCCCCGACATGTTTGAAATGAAAAGGAGTTGTAAATTTCAATGATTGTACCAACCCACCCATTGGTCCAATTATCATAAAGAAATCCAAGCATGGGAGAAAATATATGGTTTTGTTAATAAAATGGTTTTTTTATTAAAATAAAATAAAAAATTACAGATAATAAATTTATTGACTTTATAGAAGATATCATCACCAGATAACTCAGAAATACTATGATTCTTGGAATCTTATTTTTTAATTTTATTGTTTATGTTGGTGAGTTTTTGTTTTTTTTTAGAAAAAAATTAATAATAATTTTGGTGCAGGACTATTGAGATGTGGAAAGAGTTGTAGATTGAGATGGACAAATTATCTAAGACCAGATTTGAAAAGGGGACTTTTATCAGAATATGAAGAGAAAATGGTTATTGATCTTCATGCTCAACTTGGCAATAGGTACAATTTTTTTTATTCGTATTATTACGATAGAGTCAGCATTTTCATTAACGAAATTTAATTTAACCAATTATACTATATTGGAGTTAGCACGATAGAGTCAGCATTTTCATTAACGAAATTTAATTTAACCAATTATACTATATTAGAGTTAGCACGATAGAGTCAGCATTTTCATTATCGAAATTTAATTTAACCAATTATACCATATTGGAGTTAGCACTTTGGAATTCAATCATAAGTTCGCGGATTTATCATAATCTAATTGTTTTGTATGTTTATCCTTATATGTATGTGTGTGAACGTGAAAAAAATAATCATAAATAAAACTTTTTTATGAAATTCACAACATTTAAATTCTGTATTTGTCGTGACATATATATATATATATATATATGTTACATGTGGAGCTTATTTTTTTAAAAAAAACTTCTAATAAAGAAAAAGAAAAGGAGTGACTTCAAATGATAGTTTAAAGTGGCAGACAACAATTTCGATTCAATTTTAGGCACCCATGCTCCACTGTATACCTTTCTATTACTTTCTTATTTTGTTAACATCAATTTTCTTTTTGGCTATTCATTACACTATTTTACATAAGTGGGGAAAAGGTATGTGAAAGTTTTCGATATAAAAAATAATAATTTAATTCATAAAGTATAGTAGCATTTATACATATTTTAGGAAGAATTGCACTTCAAAGGGAGTCTTTTTTGATATGAGTATTAGCTTACTATATTTTAAATTGTAAGATTTTTAGCACTATATCGATATATAAATTAAATTTTTATTTTATTTTATGAGAATTGTTCCTCATTACATTTATTTGTTTAAAATTATTTTCAGGTGGTCTAAAATTGCTTCTCATTTACCAGGAAGAACTGATAATGAAATTAAGAATCATTGGAATACACATATTAAGAAGAAGCTCAAGAAAATGGGGATTGATCCAACGACTCACAATCCAATTACTAGTGACCAACTAACAAAAAATCAACCAATTATTCAACAAGAAACACAAATTCCTATAGAGGAACCACTCGTAGAAATCAAGTCAGAAGAAAACAAGAACATTGGAACGACGATATCAACAACAATTACGTCTCAGTCTCAAACAAATTTGAGTCCGCGAGTAAATGAGAACGTTGGGACATGCCCAAAAAACATCAACTCAATTGATGAAGTCATGAATGATGACTTTTGTACTAATGAAGTCCCCTTAATTTCACCAAATGAAATTTTAGTCCCTCATGTATCAACAACAACATCATCAACATCTTCATTTTCTTCTCAATCATCCATCAATATTCTTGAAGACTTTTTGCCAAATTGGCAATGTGATTTCAACATGGAAATTAGTTGGGCTGATGATGATTTTAGAAGCACTTTGGATTATTTACTCAATGATGATGATGTTAGTGACATGAACAACACCACCATTTCTCAAGATTGGTCACAAGTGTTGGAAGTTTGAGACTACTATTAAAAAAAACGTGAATTTTCGATAAACATTCCATTAAAAATATAATATTTCTTCTCTGAAAAGTTCGTTGAAAATTAAAATTCACATGTTTTTAATACTGTGATTAATATTTCAAAGGAGAGCAAAATTAAGCTCTTTCTTTTGATTGACCAATCACTTCTTCTTTTTTTTTGTATTGTTTATAGAAGTTTAGATGGTAGAGTTGTTACTATAGTTCATGGACAATAAAAAAACAACAGATATATTTATGGAGGCAAATTACATAAAAAGCCTCATCAAATATATTTATGTTATGGATGATAATATAAAAGTGTAAAACTCTTTTCTAATTTTAGTTTTATATATACTTTAAACTTAATTAATTTATTATTGGGTATCAAAATAATTAATCTGATGCATAAAGCATTCGACATAGTTAAGTTTGTGAAATCTCAAGTAAAACTTTATCATGATATAAATATTAATAATTATTTTTATGATTCAAATGCGTAATCTAAAGATAACAAAGATAACTTTGATATTTTCTTTACAATAATCATTCTACCTAACTGATTAAGACGTCCAGTTACTCTATGAAATTTCTCTCGAGTCAAATAATAACTTATAAGTTCATATAGGGAAATAGACTAATTACATATATTAATTACGAAAGTCAAATATTATCAAGTACATTTTCTACTAATTTAATATATTAAGTCGCAATTTCAAAGTGGAAATTAAACCTTCCTCAGTCCCAACTAGAAATTAAAATTGATAATATTAAAAAATTAATGGAAGATGCCAAACATTATATTTAAATTAATATCATTGACTAAATGCAAAATTAGAAGTGTAGAAAAACCTTTGCACAATTAGACGAAAATATATATTGTCATATGATAATAATTTAAAAAATCATATATAATTAAAGGTTACTCTGGTCTATGACACTATAATTTAGAAAATAAAATCCCTCCAAGAACTAGAGGATTTATTGTTAAAAATCAATGATGAATTATGGTGGGAGACAGAGATCGTTCTACTCTTAATTAGATGGTCCTTGAGTTTTGTATATGAAAATATATATATATATTGAAAGTACGATACTCAAAAATGGATCCCGCAATGCACACTACTAGAAAAACTATTATTTTCTAATTGAAAATGTTCAGTGACTATTCCTATAGATATTTTGATTGAATCGCTGTTAAAAGAAAAGAAATAGTAATTGCTTCATATGGAAAAATTAGGAACCTTCTCACTTGTTCAATAATAATCTATTTTTTACTATGTGTTTTCTCAGTGAGCTAATTTGGATAGAAAATGAATGAAAAATTATATTTTATATAGCATAAATTTCACATCAATTCGGGATGAATTTTTTTTTGTTTCTAATAATTACACAAATTCAAATTAAGAAAACTTTAATATAAATATAACAAATCGAGTGAGAAATAAAAACAATTAATTCAAAATCACATATGACGCGTTTAATCCAAAATCAGAATAAAACATATATTTTATCACCGTTTTCTCTTTTATTTATTTTTTTTAAAAAAAGTATGTAATAACATTATTGTCAAAAAGAAAAATGTATTAGTAGTTTTGGACGAAGGTGTTCGAGCTAGTTTGCGGTGTATCTTGATTATTTTATTTAGTACTCTCCTATTAAATTATATTTTAAAATTATCATCACGTATTAAATCTTTATTAGGAGGTTAAGAACAAAATAATTACTTTTTCTTCAATTTTTGCATACCATTTTATTTTCAAAAATTATTATTATTATTTGTTGCTTCATTGTCATGCAATTTTGGTGCTATTGTTTTTTTCTTATAATCATATTTTATTACACTTATTTTTAATCAATGATTTATTGAATTTTACTGCACATAACATTTCTTTTTAATTGATTGTTAATATATTGAAAAATAGTTTTTCGATTCTATATGAGACCTCCCAACACATATATGTGTTGACAATGTTGTTGTTGTTGCATTAATGATATAAGTTCCTCCTCTAGAAAAATTAACTCTTTTTATTTATTCCAATGGTGTAAACTAAATACTTACTATTTTTAAATTGACCTAAAACAAAACGTCTCAAGTGATACTCCTTTAGTTTCTAATTATTTGTCTATATTTTTTAGTTGTTCTTAATTATTTATCCATTTTGACTAACAAGAAAAAACAAATTATTTTCTTAATAAGTGTGAAAAAAATAATTCAGAGTTGTTATCTTGGACGTACTCATACCTTAGGTAATATCGTTATAAAGTGACACACAAATTATATAAGAAAAATAAATTAAGTGCAATAGACAAGGGTCATACGAGGAGCTTGACCAAGAAAATATACTAGTTGCTATTGTCTAATTAGTTGGTTTTTAAATTCATAATTAGATAACCTAATCATATTTCCAACTAAGAATATGGTATGATTACAAATTCAAAGATGTTGTTGGAAACATATATTATTCCAAATACAATTAACTCATTGACTCTTCGTGCGTTTGTATAGTTTTATTTCTTATAAAAAATTATATTTGTTAGAATATATCTATCAAATATTAAATAAGACACTAGGTAGGAATTATTAAATGAACCGAATTGCAAATCATCCTAGTTGTTAGAAAATAACAGAAAAACATAATGTCGCAATTAAGTCAATAATAAAGAATTTCGCTAGTAGGATTGTGGTGGATAGAGAGGGCTTGAAATAGTTTGAGTTCTGAATAAGAAAAAAAATAGTTTGATTGCTTGAAAAGATTTTGTGCAATGTAAATTTAGATTAGTCGATACAGATCATTGAAAAATTAATCAATAAAAATCTATTTTTATGAATCATAGGGCTTTGATATATGAGGAGGATTTCAAACATAGCTTTTATTTTTGTATAGAATAAAGTCTTGCACTAACACATTAGTGATATATATATATATATATATATATATATATATATATATAT